CACACACACTACTATACTACTACTACTACTACTATATATATATATATATATATATATATATATATATATATATATATATATATATATATATATATAGGTGTGTGTGTGTGTGTATATGTGTGTGGGTCTGTGTTAATTGATATGCATACTGACCAACGACTGGTGGGCATCACACAGTCAATCTAATACCATACGCTTAGTTTAGTTACACACAGAAGCTATATTTTACGAATCACATACCAGAGGGCAACTATATGCAAGGCCAATTCCCATCCCAAAGATTATTCCTTGGGTCAACAGGAGTGTGATGAAGGTTTCTGCACCCCACGCCGCCAGGAATACCCCGAAAGAGGATAACAACCCTCCTGTAAGCGCTATTATTCTTGGACCAAACCGACTCTCTAGCTCGCCCCCCAGATACATAGTAGTGCCCTGTCCGCATGCAGCAAGTGCGATTAACCAGGTCATATTGCCTTGCAATCGGGTGTATTCTTCAGATCTATGTCCCGGTGTTGGGAAGGAACAGTTGTCATCGTGTTCGCATATATAGCTTACATAGTATGTCGAGAGATTGCCTATACAGTAGAGTGTGCCCAGAGTCACATGTAGACCTGCCCCGGCTGCTACCGCACGGATGCCTCTCCAGTTAGGCATGTTGGAGGCTATCGTGACCTTAATTGTGTTTATCAGTAAGTAGTTACCGTACACTAATAAGAGCGCAGAGACTTCTCACACGGTGGGATAAGACAGTGCTACACCGAGCCGATGAGTGCACGTGTGACGTTTTATTTAGAAACATTGTGCGAATAGACGGCTGCTAACCGGCTTACGGCTCTTGTGATCGGGACTAGTTCGGCACTGCAGCGTATACGTTGTACGTAAATGTACTAAAAAGTTTAAATATTTCAACAAAAAATACACACAAAAAAACGTTATAACCTTTAAGTCAGGAAAGGGTCACCTACATATTATGAGATAAATAAATATGGGCGACATATACTAGAAGTCGCATTATTATATATTGCACCATATAATATTGCACCCTCACAGAAAATACAGGACCGAATCTAACAAAGGTTGAACGTAAACGTAAAAAAGTATGAACTCGTATATTTTTTAAACCGTAAGTACTGAGGTCTGAGGTCTGTTCACTGAAACTCTGACGTCTGGTCTGAATGAAGACTGAGGAGACTCGAGGTCTCGGGATACTGCCACAGGGCCAGGCCCATAGGTTACACCTCAACAGTCTACAGTCCTACACCACAGCCTAGGTATAAATTTATAAGTCCTACGGACAATACATACATTTTTTTTCTTCCGATAAATGTGTGAGTGACAAATGTCCCAGAGCGGTATAATATACCGCCCCACAGAAGTCCAGGACCTAGTAGAGACCCACTATGTCCAATTTTGCTGAAAAGGTTTTTATTGCAGTTTTGCATTTGGGGTGCACTCTCCAAATCTCAGAAATTTCCGACATCCAAAAAAATTTATTAGTAATACAAAATCGGTCTCAAGACCCCGGTTCTTAAGTGTGTGCACCATAGAACGATCAGGCATACATTTGTTTAAAAAAAAAAAGAGGTCAGTGTAACTGTGTACAGTGAGTAACGAAGTCGATGACTCACTAAATGTGTATTAAGAGTCATATCCTCTTTCAGACGTCTGGCGTAAGATTATTGGATAACTAATACAAGTTATGACTCGTATACTGCTATTGAGTTTATAGTTTATTTTGTCTTTAGACTTCCACGACTTCCAAAGCTCCAGTCTAAAAAAACTCACTCAACAGTCTACACTGTTCTACGTCATGTCCACCAATACTACTACTTCTTTTGAAAACATACACTCGATGCATATAGTTGTATATAAAAGACGAGGGTAATTCTAACGAGCTCACAATTGTAACGGTCTACAACTTTTTAACAATATAATATGCCGGTCTCTTTTCTGTTTATAGACAAATCCTTCAATGTCAAGTGTGCGTTATGCCGTGATATACCTATAGACGCATGCGATACACGCTGTTGTGGTAGTGTATACTGTGCTCGGTGCATAAACAATCTATCTCTATCATCATCGTCATCTAAGGATAAGTATTGCCCAGCCTGCTCTGCACCCATCAGCACATCAGACGTTTCCGAGAACTTTTATCTGCGTAAGCGGGTAGATGAGTTAGAGGTCTCCTGCGACACATGTGGGGAGAGTGGAATTCGTAGTCAGATGCGAGAGAAACATACGGAAGCGCAATGCAGGGGCTCGAGAACAGCTAACTCTAATGTATGTTGGATTGCTAATTGATTGATTGTGCACTCGAATAATGTGCCTTCTCTTTCTCTGTCTTCTATTCGTAATATTATCAGTGTAGAGGATGCGTTCTGTGTCCGAGTCCAGCGTTAGTTCACTTCTTATTATCTATCTCTAGTGTAAGTTCACTTGTTCTTATATTTATATATATTGTACTCTTGAAGAATGAGTTTATGTGGAGTTGGGGTTTTATATCTAGTAACATGCCCTGCTATGAATATCATAGCCTTATGGGAGGTCTCAGGCATTTATGCGTCTATGCCTAAGTGGTGCGGGTTTCTCTCATTGCAAGTAGGGTCGACTTCCATACCTATATATATTGATTACAAATCATTTTTTTCCGACATTGATTCTGCTACAGTACGTGTACCCCCCAACGTCCCCTGCGCCTTATACAAACACTCGAGAACGCGAATCAACTATTGCGGAGTCTGCTCCACCTGCATACGAGAGCTTACGAAATGACCTTGCTTTTGAAAGCATACCAACGGAAGCGAATGACGGAAGTGATCAGAACGCACCGGAATATGGTCAGCAAAGTTCTGGTACTGCTACGGATGGGGCTGTCACTGTATCGAAGGTAATTAGAAGCAATGTGGGTCTATTCGTGTATTCATGTTATACATGTTATATATATAGATATATAGATATATTGATATATGTACCTATATATATATATGGATATAGATATAGATATATAGATATATATGTAGATATAGATATAGATATAGACATGTGTGGGTACACATGCCATGCTTTGAGCTGGTATCATATTATGTTATATAGAGTATCACGAGATATTCTACTATTACTTATTGGAGTCCACACGTATAGTGTTATGCTCATACATTTTTTCGATGTCCACACAGGGTTCATACTTCATGTCCATCCTTCGGTCAGCTTGGTCACGAATTGCCGGCGTAGTAGAAACTCATCGCGCGACTAAGAAGCTCAGACGTGAACAAGCAAATCAGAACCGAGCGGAAAAAATCAGCAGATGCAAGCAGAAAGTGGCTGCTATGTGGTTAAAAAATGCTGAGGGGTATGGTAGCAGCAGCACAACAATTGCAGATACAAGTCGCGGGAAGAGTAAAAAATGCCAGAGAGCTCAAAGAAAAGAAGCCAAATGGGCGCGAAAACATGAACATTTTTCGAAAAAGTGTTACGAGCTTTTGGAACGCAATGATGGAGACGACGACAAACGCAAGCGCGAGTGCCGCTACCAAAGACGTTGGACGAGGAAGGCCAACCGATGTGCACGCAAGCAGGAGAGATGGTGTAGCCGAATTGACTGCCGTATATAAGTATATATATATATATATATATATAGCTTTTTCCGTTCAAATTTAGAGGTTCATTGCTGGGATGCTCTTGATTGCATCTTCACTATTTAGATGTATATTTGAATACGTTGCTTGGAAGGAAAAGCTTGAAGCTCTTTTATATCTTTTATTTACTCTCTCTCTTTAGAAAGAATACCACTCATTGGTATAGTTATAGATTCAATAAATACTGAAAGCTATTATGTATATAGCACTCGCATTGGGTCTCGTCCATTTGCACCTTTTTTACACAGCACGTATCTAACTTCAATCTGAATAGAATCGTATTTCATAGTTAAAAAGAATACAAGATATCCATAGCTAATAACAACACATGGCGACAACAACCCACATTTATTAAATCATGTGTAATTTAATAGTAAATATCAAACCCCTAGGACAAGAGACCTAAGACATTCTGGGATATGTATGTGTATACCTCGATTACATATTGTACAAATGTGGTTCTGCAACGGACCTGGGACAAATTCAAGGGATGCACCATACATACATACATATTGTACAAGAAGTGCTTAGTGCACCTTTTAATTCTAGAGTGTCACCCATATAATTATTAACATATTACCGTACTTGAGACTTGAGAGCTTGAGATCGGGCGAGGCCTGAGGGCTGGACTGATGACTCCATAGAAGGCTATTTACACATGAGCTTATGACTCTACGAGTCCTCTATCAGTGTTTCGCTATATGACTCAACGCGTTTCAGAATCGTGTTTCCCGTGTCCAATCAAATCTAGTTCCGTAAAAGCGCGCCAAATACTTGAGAGAAATAAATTTAAAGTTAAACAAATGGTAAATACCGTCAAATACGTGTGGTTGTATCCACAATACATAGCTATTTATTTGTATGTATCTAGTTATATATGGACACACTCGTGGAAGGAGGGACAGGACAACATACTTTACGAAAGCAAGAGTGTAGCTTGGCTGATATATGCATTTGTGCATATGGAAAGTGCTTGAATAGTGAAGGCTGGAGTGTAAAAATTTCTCAAGTGAGTTTATAATTCAATTGGTTACGACCGAAACTTAGTCGGTGTATTCGTCAAGGTACGTACGTCTGACGAAACTAAAGGTAATGCAATTCGCGACAACATGACCGACAAAAAAAGTTTAGAGTCCAATAAAGCTCAGGACAAATCCAGGGCAAAGCAGATATCAGCTGAAGCCAGATATATCGGTTCAAATCCCTTTGAACTGGCGAAAGGTAGTACATCGAAGCGTAAAAGCAATGTCACGCTTAAGCTGTCGCATGCGTTTGGAGATTTAGAATCTAGCAAGCGTATGCGTGTACCAGATGATAATAAGTTGGGATATGCTGCGGTGGCGACAAATGAATTGAGCGCGAATGAGAGAAACAGCCATGCCAAGGAGGACATGGGGGTGGCTGAAGAGGTTGAGAAGGTATGTGTATAGTATGTATGAGGGCTTTTGAGTTATTGTGGATGTTTTTGTGTGTGGGATAGTGTGTGTGTGTGAAAGGGCTCCGCGAGTGTACGGGCATGTGTCAGCTGATATCAAAGTTGGGATCGATAAATTGAAATTGAAAGTTAAAGACAGTTATACCATAGGAAATATTGTGATGCGAAAAGAGGATCAAAAGGTGTGGGTTTGGGATGTGTAATGTCTTATTTATATATATATATATATATATCATGTAAAAATATCTATTTCACATTTACCGATTGACCAATGAAGGACATACAAGAGGTCGACATATCTTCGCGAGTAGTGAATGAGAGTCGGGGCAAAACAAAGGGCCTAGATACACAGGACAAACCCAGCACGGGGACTAAGAGCAAAGAACCAGGTGTGTTGTACCAGATCCTACAAACAAGCGGGATCGAGCATATACACGCACAGACACACTAACGGCTGTATCTGCACACTTTCCATGTGAATCTATGCAGATGTACTTCACTATTCAGTCCACTGTTTATGATTGCTGGTGCGCATTCTGATGACGCTATGTACGCTACCCATTGAGTTGCGATGTTGTCACGTGTCCGTCCTCCAATGCGCAATCCTCTGAGTTCAGTTATGCTCGGCGTAAAGACGTATCTTATGACCAGTTTGCACCTTTGTATTGAATTTGATAGAGCATATATGTATGTACATGTGTACTTGCACTCTTGGTTGTGGCTCAGAAGTCCAGTTGCTGACACATGTTTCCGAGTTGGATTGAAAAGTTTCGTACGCAAAGCAAGACTGCATTCAACCGAACGAAAAGACGCGCTTTTCACTTCTGTTACGAGTAATAGCAAGGATAGTTTCTATGCCATAGGTGGTTGTGAGTAGACGGTATATGCTTCAGTGTCTCTTATACCCACATTTGCCTGGTCTAAATGCCTCAACATATGTACTACTTGTCCTATCAAACAATACGTTAGGCACGGCCTTCTTCCAGCTGAACGGGGCCGAAACTGTCCCCGAATATGATCCCCAGCTGGAGACCAGAGTTAGTCGTAGCGGAAAAACCATCAAAACCGGCACAGTCGGTGCTTTTAGTCCCGTAATTAAAACGGGACGTAAGGCTTCGAAGCAAGACGGAAGTGGCATAATCAGGGGCGATATTAGTGGAGACAGTGCTATAAATAGAACAGAAGCTGATACCAGAACACATGGGAGTGAAACGGGCGATACAAGCGGCGTGGACGAGGGAGAAGGTATGAGCGCAAACACCAGCCCTCCCGTAAACTCAGCAGAAACACTCCTTACAACACACAACCATGCACCCATGAATGCTGGCAAATACGCAGCTGTGGTGAAGGCTAAGACCACCCCGAGAGGTAAGCGCGGCCGTCCCTTGGCACGTGGGCGGGCGCGAGCACGTGGCTGGGTGGGAGTCGTACCACAGCACTCGCTTCCAATTGCGGGATGTACCGGTATTGCGAAGGATGGCAATGTGGGTGAGACGGAAGAAGTGTCGGGAATTGAGGATAGGTGTATGAGTGTCGGTGAAGGTGAGAACGAGGGTGACGATGACACGGCCGAGAAAGAGCTCGAGACTCGGCTTAATAGCGGAAAGGAGGTGGTAGGAGAGTGTGGGGATACCGGGACGAAACGGGACGGCGAGGTGGCGGAGAGTGTCGGTGATGGGGCCGAAGCCGAAACGGATGGCGAGAAGGGACAACTTCAGAAGGTACCCGGGGAAGAGAAAAATGGTGGTGACGGCATGGTGGATAGTGTAAAAGGGCCTGAGGCTGCTACGGTTGCCATGGATACAGACAGCGCCGATGTCAGCACCGCCTTTGAGGTCAGAGACAGCACAGAGAAGGAAAACATGGAAGGTTGCGCTGCTGGTAGTAAGGACAACAGTGGAATAAACAACAACGCCACAGAGGAGGAAGACACGGAAGGTTGCGATGCTGGTAGTAAGGATAAACAGGTAAACCACAACAGTGGAATAAACAACAACGCCACAGAGGAGGCAGACACTGAAATTTCCGATGCTGGTAGTAAGGATAAACAGGTAAACGACAACAGTGGAATAAACAACAACGCCACAGAGAAGGCAGACACTGAAGTTTCCGATGCTGATAGTGAGGATAAACAGGTAAACGACAACAGTGAAATAAACAACAACGCCGCAGAGAAGGCAGACACTGAAGGTTGTGATGCTGGTAGTGAGGCCAAACAAGTAAACGACAACAGTGGAATAAACAACAACGCCGCAATAAACGACAGCGAGGAAGGGATGGGGGCTGTTGAGTACGACCACAAAGCTAGTGACGTTGGGAACGGTAGGGATGTGACTATTTCGACAGGTGTCTTGACACCTCAACCCCAGACGGCCGACAAGACTGACAGCACCACTGCTGAGAGTTGTGGACGTGTCAAAAGCAACCCTGACACCGACACAGACACAGACACTACATGTGCAGAGAAAACAAATAGTACCGAACAATTGGGGGACAAGACTGGCACATACGGGGCTGAAGTAGCTTCTGATATGACAGGCGACCACATAGGAGATATGGTGGTAGAGGATATGTCTGAGGGGGTGGTAAAGGAGGATGAAAGGATGGACATCAATGAACCTACGCAGGCGGGTGCGCCTGCTAGTACTTGTATAGGAACGTGGGACAGTGGTGAAGGTGGCAAACCTGCAGAAGAAGAGACTGTCACACCGGCCGAGAAACAACTGGACAATCATGCCGGTACACGCGCCGGCACGACCACCGACATGCACGTAGATAGTCAAGTAGATAAAGACACAGGCGCACAGACACACACCCAAAGGGACCTGCAGAAGGATACACCTGCAGACAACCCTACCGATACACACACAGACGAGAAAATAGACAAGGAAACGGAAGGACTCACAGCAGAGCCAATAGGTGCACACACAAAGGAGGAGAAGGGCACGCAGAAGAGTGGTCTTGCTGACAAAGATGCACAGTCACACACAGACACCCAGAGAATCAAGCCAGACGATACCCACACAAACAAAGCAACAGACAGTGCACACGCAGACGGGCGAAACGACAAACAACCCAGCCCTGAGGCAGGCAAAGAGATAGATACACACTCAGACACGCAAATGGTCAAACAAGACGAATCTCTTGTAAACAATAGTGCAGAGACACACACAGCCACGCAAAAGGACAAGCAACCCGATGTTCTTACCGACAGAGATACCGACACCCACTCAGGTGTCGCCATGGAGTCCGACGAGGATGAGCGGGAGCAACCACAGCAAACACACACACACACACACGACACCAACGACCGAGATACACGAGGTAGCCGATCCCGCTCGAGCGCAAGTGCGAGTGTGGACGTCGATGGCGCGGGTGAGGCTGGCACACGGCCCATGCGCATGCGAGATGGGATGGGGGGTAGTACGGGGAACGGACGGGGCAAAGCAAGGGCCTTAATGGGCAGACCTAGGGGCATAAAGGGGGCCAAACGGAAACGGGAGACGGTCAGTGGATCGGTGGACGGTGTGGAGGTAGAGCACGGCGTTGGGAATATGGTAGGTATGGGGGAAGACGATAGCGGTAACACCAGTGTGGGGTCCGGTGCGCATGCCGACATGGGGTTAAAAGCCCGGGCCAAAACCCGGCGAAAACCTGGGAAAGGCGGGGCTAAACGACCACACATCAACAAGTACGCAACCACCGGAGACTTGTATGCGGATCTGGTAGAGATTGATCAGGACGAGGTCAATGCCTTGTTCTTTCCCAAGTACGACCCAGCAGCCATGGTGTGGAACTCAACCCACACAATCAACCAGAAGAACAAGTACTGCTACTGCGGGGGCAAGCGCACGCGCAAGAACTGCGACCTGTACTGTGACCAGTGCAACAACTGGTTCCATCTGGACTGTGTGAAGATCAATAACTCGCCCACGCTGGCCTATGGATTGCACTACAAGTTTGTGTGCAAGGCGTGTGTGTACACGTACGACACGCGGGTTGCCCTGACAGTATGTGGCGATGTCATGAGTGTATATTCCCAGGTGTAGTTGTTTATGTCACGATGTCATGAGTGTATATTCCCAGGTGTAGTTGTGTATGTGACGATGTCCTGAGTGTATATTCACAGGTGTAGTTGTGTATGTGATGATGTTCTGAGTGTATATTCACAGGTGTAGTTGTGTATGTTTTGATGTCCTGGGTGTATATTCACAGGTGTGGTTGTGTATGTTTTGATGTCATGAGTGTATATTCCCAGGTGTAGTTGTTTATGTCACAATGTCATGAGTGTATATTCCCAGGTGTAGTTGTGTATGTGACGATGTCCTGAGTGTATATTCACAGGTGTAGTTGTGTGTGTGACGATGTCCTGAGTGTATATTCACAGGTGTAGTTGTTTATGTCACGATGTCATGAGTATATATTCACAGGTGTAGTTGTTTATGTGATGATGTTCTGAGTGTATATTCACAGGTGTAGTTGTGTATGTGACGATGTCCTGAGTGTATATTCACAGGTGTAGTTGTTTATGTCACGATGTCATGAGTATATATCTACAGGTGTAGTTGTTTATGTCACGATGTCGTGAGTATATATTCACAGGTGTAGTTGTTTATCTCACGATGTCATGAGTGTATATTCACAGGTGTAGTTGTGTATGTTTGATGTCATGAGTGTATATTCCCAGGTGTAGTTGTTTATGTCACAATGCCATGAGTGTATATTCCCAGGTGTAGTTGTGTATGTGACGATGTCCTGAGTGTATATTCACAGGTGTAGTTGTGTATGTTTTGATGGCCTGAGTGTATATTCACAGGTGTAGTTGTGTGTGTGGCGATGTCCTGAGTATACGTTTGCGTGTGTAGTTGTGTATGTGACGATGTCATGAGTGTATATTCACAGGTGTAGTTGCTTATGTCACGACGTCATGAGTATATATTCACAGGTGTAGTTGTTTATCTCACGATGTCATGAGTGTATATTCCCAGGTGTAGTTGTGTATGTGACGATGTTATGAGTGTATATTCACAGGTGTAATTGTGTATGTTTTGTTGTCCTGAGTGTATATTCACAGGTGTAGTTGTTTATGTCACGATGTCGTGAGTATATATTCACAGGTGTAGTTGTTTATCTCACGATGTCATGAGTGTATATTCACAGGTGTAGTTGTGTATGTGACGATGTTATGAGTGTATATTCACAGGTGTAGTTGTTTATGTGATGATGTTCTGAGTGTATATTCACAGGTGTAGTTGTGTATGTGACGATGTCCTGAGTGTATATTCACAGGTGTAGTTGTTTATGTGATGATGTTCTGAGTGTATATTCACAGGTGTAGTTGTGTATGTGACGATGTCCTGAGTGTATATTCACAGGTGTAGTTGTCTATGTCACGATGTCATGAGTATATATCTACAGGTGTAGTTGTTTATGTCACGATGTCGTGAGTATATATTCACAGGTGTAGTTTATCTCACGATGTCATGAGTGTATATTCACAGGTGTAGTTGTGTATGTGACGATGTTATGAGTGTATATTCACAGGTGTAGTTGTTTACCTCAAGATGTCATGAGTGTATATTCCCAGGTGTAGTTCTGTATGTTGTTTACCTCAAGATGTCATGAGTGTATATTCCCAGGTGTAGTTCTGTATGTGACGATGTTCTGAGTGTATATTCACTGGTGTAGTTGTGAATGTTTTGATGTCCTGAGTGTATATTTACAGGTGTAGTTGTGTGTGTGCCGATGTCCTGAGTATATGTTTGCGTGAGTAGTTGTGTATGTGGCAATGTCCGGAGTATGTATTGTCAGATGTAGTTATGAGAGTATCTAAGTTTGTGTGTAAGGCGTGGGTGTACTCGTACGGCTCGCTTGTTGCCTGGGTATTTGGTGGTGACATCTGAGGATATGCCCTGTCCACAGGGGTGTGTATGCATACCTACCGCTTGTTGAGATCCACCTATGCACTAGTTTGGGGTTGGCGTGTCCTGTGCGTAGATTTTCTGCAATGTGAGAGTTTGCCAAGTGTTCTAGATTGTCGTGCAAGTGTGTCTTTAGATTTAGACCTACTAGTGTGTCTGCACCTCTCTCTCTCTCTCTCTCTCTATATATATATATATATGGAATCTTCTGCTGCGCTTCTGTGTACACATACGCGATGAGGACTGTCTTGTGGGTATGAGCTATTGTGGGTGATCTACTCTTGCTGGTTCTGTGTGCAGTACAAACTTATACGCATGTAGATACATACATCGGTTAGAATTGCCATTACTCTACACGTGCATACTCCAATGCACGCTTATACGTATGTGGATACATACATCTTTTCAACTCTCTTTACTTTACACTTGCACACTCAAATACATACCATGTACCCTTGTATGTATATAGATACGTACATATTCTAGATTCCCTTTGCTTTTCACTTGCAAACTCCAATGCACACTTATATGTATGTAGATACATACATATTTTAAATTTCCTTTACTTTATACATGCATACTCAAATGCATACCAAGTATCACATATTGAATATCTGAATTGTATCTAAATGTTTGTGTAGGCGGCGAGGGACGCCAAAGAACTTCAGAGCGGTACGAAGGAAACATCTGCACCTCAAGCAATGGACATTAATTCAGAGACACAAAAGGAAGGGCCAAATGACAGTACAAAGGGGGCTGAAATAGGCCTAAACAGGACAGAAGCTGTAGACGTGATCGAGAAGGCGGTCGATGGAGAAGTGGACAGAGCCGATGCGAAAACTGACACTGGTGACAAAATAAGTTCTGGTGTCAGAATAAGCTCTGGTGTCAGCATAAGCTCTGAGGTGAATAGCAGTGGGGAGCCTAGCACTGGCACTGGCACTGGTAAGAAGAAAGCAAACACCGTAGAGAATGTCAAAGGAAATGAGAAATCGGATACCACTGCGACACAGACGACCGACGATGTAGCTATGGTGAACAAAGGTAAGTGACCTCACACACACTACCTCATACTTAGACTACCCTATCTATATACACTGTATACATAAAATAGAGTAGACTATACTATCTACACTATATAGAGTAGACTATACTATCTACTATATACACTATATAGTGTAGACTACACTATCTACTATGTACACTATAAAGTGTAAACTACACTATATACTATATACACTATATAGTGTAGACTATACTATCTACTATATACACTGTATAGTGTAGACTACACTATCTACTATGTACACTATAAAGTGTAGACTACACTATCTACTATATACACTATATAGTGTAGACTATAATATCTACTATACACACTATAAAGTGTGGACTATGCTATCTACTATATACACTATATAGTTTAGACTATACTATCTACTATATACACTATATAGTGTAGACTATAATATCTACTATATACACTATATAGTGTAGACTATACTATCTACTATATACACTATATAAAGTAGACTAAACCATCTACTATATATATTGTAATCTATCGTATCCACTATATACACTATATAGTGTAGACTATCCTATCTACTGTATATGTACAACGGGTTGCCTGTGGTCACAACACTCCCGGTGATATATAACCGAAGCTACAACGCGGCTTTTTAGCTACATGCCAAACCATACCAACAACAGAACCTTTTTAGGTGCTAGGTAGATAAGGGGAATCGTTTGAAATTGTAAGAGAGATGGATTTGCAACACGAGTTTTTAATTTGCAACGTCGTAAATCCATTCAGACACTCCCTCCCAAGGCGCTACCGCAGACAATACAGCGGACATAACCGAAAGCGTGCAGGAGATATTCTTTCAAGAAAGCCGCCAGACATGGCAACCCGTTGTCACACAGGTGTGGCAAGTGTACCTCGTGAAGCAGATGCGAAACTGATGTATCTCCATGCATGTAGTTATATATAT